TACTCCTAACCCACTGATGCCGTTGCACTCACATAGCGGACCAACCTCTTGGCCGCTTCCAGCTGCTCATGACTGGGGCGTGAAACCACACTGGCAAGCCTGGATGTTGCAAAGGCAATGTCAGGCCGTGTGTGGTTAGCCGCATAGTTGAGTGCCCCAACCATGGAATGAAAAAGTTTCCTGTCACTCTCACCCACCACCTCCTCATCAGCACAGGGCTCCACAGTGAACCCCGAAGGCAGTGGGGTGGCTGGCTTTCCTCCATCTTGCAGCCCATACTTCTCAGCCAGCCCCTCACAGTACTTTCTCTGGTGCAACCTCAACACTCCCTTGTCAAGGTCCCTCTCCACATGCATCCCTAAATAGTACTTCACATCTCCCATCTTGGAGCACTTGAACTGCATCTCTAGCATCTCCTCCACATGCTCAATCATTGCAGACGAATCAGAGAAGAGCAGGATGTCGTCCACATACACCAGGAGCATGAGAAACTGCTCCTTCTCCTGTAGCAGGAACAAGCTGTGATCACACTCACTCTTCTTGAAACCCCCAGCCAGCAGAGTCTCCTCTAACTTGTGGTACCATGCACGAGGAGCCTGCTTCAGGCCATAGATGGCCTTCTTCAGCCTGCACACCCTGCCGCTCCCATCATCCAAACCCTCAGGCTGTAACATGTACAGCTCCTCCAGAATGATCCCATTGAGGAAGGCGGTGGTGATGTCCATCTGCTTCACCCGCCATCCACGGTTTGCTGCCATTGCCAATGACACCCGAAGTGTTGTGCCTTTCCCCACAGGAGCATAGAGCTCGTTGAAGTCCTTTCCCTTTGTCTGCTGAAACCCCTTAGCCAGAAGCCTTGACTTGTAGCGGGTCAGCGCTCCATCAGGTCCGTACTTGTGCCTGAAAATCAGCTTGGAAGAAATGGCCTTCTTCCCGGGTGGCAGCTTACACAGCTCCCATGTCTCATTCTCTAGCAGAGAATCATACTCCTCCTTCACACTCTGCTTCCACTTTTCAGCATCGGGCCCGCTCAATGCCTCAGCTAGCGTCTTGGGCTCAGGGACGGCTGCCCAGTAGCAGTGTGCTATCTCATCCTCATCACACTGCTCAGCCACACTCCCAGCCCTCACCACCTTTGGCTTGCCACGGCTTGCATAGGTCAGCCTGTTAGGAGGGCGCACATCCCTCCTAGGACGGTCAGCCGTACGTCCGGCACCTTGTGGAGCACCTTGCTCCTCCTGCTGCTGCTGCTGCTGCTGCTGCTGCTCCACCTCAGGTTCTCCCCCATCATTAGTCACCCCAGATATCTCCTCCTTGGAGACAGAAACCTCCACCTGCCTCGAAGGCCGCTGCACCTCATCAGCCTCGACAATTAGCGGTGTCGTTGGAAGCTTCTGCTGCTGCTGCTGCTGCTTCCACTCTTTGTAGTACAAGGACTCAAGGAACTTCACATCCCTTGACACAGTCAGCTGCTGGCTGGTCAAGTCCCAAATCAGCCAGCCCTTGTGATCCTTAGCAAGCCCCAAGTGCACACCCCATCTCCCAGAAGCTTCCAGTTTTCCCCTCTTCTCCTTAGGCACATGAAACACCACCATGCAGCCATAAGTTCTCAGCATGTTGACTGCAGGCGCACTCCCATACCACTTGGTGTAGGGGACCCATTGCTTGTCCCCCATAGTCGCCAGCACCCGGTTCTTCACAACAACGACCTGCCGCAGTGCTGTCACCCAAAACGGATCCGGCAGCCCTGCACGCCCAAGGAGAGTGCGAGCACCTTCCTGCAGGGTCCGGTTGAACCGCTCAGCCACGCCATTCTGCTGAGGGTTGTAAGGCACTGTGAGCTGATGCTGGATCCCCTTTCGCTTCAGCTCCTTCTCAAAATCAGCGCCGATGAACTCTCCTCCGTTGTCAGTGCGGATCACCTTCACCTTGTGTCCGCTCTCCCTTTGTGCTCTCGGCATCCACTCCTTAAGAACAGCCGCTGCCACCTCCCCCTTAGTCTTGAGAGGGTACACCCACACCGCACGTGTGTGGTCGTCCACAATTGTCAAGAAGTAGCGGCTACCCGAGAGAGAAAGGGCCCTCGTGGGGCCCACCACATCCAAGTGTACTAGTGCAAGTGGTGCCTTAGCTGGTCCTGTGCTGCTGCTGAAGGGAAACTTCGTGAATTTGGTCTCAAGGCAGGTAGGGCAGCTCCCAATCTCCTTTGCTCCCCCTTTCACCTCCAGCCCCTTCAAGCACCCATCCTTAACCAACTTCTGCAGCATAGGAATGTTCACATGGCATAGCCTCTCATGCCACGTCTCCCAATCAGCCTCACCACTCCCAGATGAAGTCTTTGCCCATGCAGCTGTCGCATCCACACCAGCAAGCACCTCACCATGTGGCTGTTGTGGCTGCTGCACCTTCTTGACTGCATCCATGGCCGCAGCAGTTGGTGCAGACTCCTCTCCTCCCGCAGTTGCTTTAGCCGCTCCCGCTGCCTTTGCTGTTGCTGGTGGTTTCCCCTTCCAAGGGATGATGGGCAGCTGCTACAGGTCCTTGATGCAGCTGCTCTTCTCCTCCAAGTTCCACAGCAGCATCTTCCCAAGCTTTGCACGGCAGCTGGTTGGGCCGAAGGTAACTTCAGCCTTGCTCTTCTGCAGCCGGCGAACAGAAAGAAGGTTAGCGGGCAAACCTTCAACCAACAGCACATTCCCAAGCCCCACAAGCTCTCCATTGGCTCCCATCACCTTAGCATTCCCAACACCAATCACAGGGAGCAAAGCACCTGAAGCGGCAGCCACAAACTTGATCTTCCCAATAGGTTTTACCTCATCAAGCAAATCTGCCCGTGGGGTCATATGACTCGTGCAACCTAAATCGATCACCCAGTGAGTGAGGGGGTGCATCACAACCTTCCCAACTGAACCCACATCACCCCCACTCCCTTGCACATCCTCAACCATGAGGAACATCCCAAGGTTGGCTTTACCTTGTGCACCATCACCTTGTGCACCAGATCCTTGCACAGCGCCACCGCGTGCACGTTCACCACTTGGCGGCTTCATGCCTGGAGGGGCCCATCCCTCAGGCCGGCTGAAACACTTGAACCACGGGTGTCCAGCCTTCTTGCAGTACCAGCACGCACCCTCCATTCGGGTGCTCCCCCTGCCACCAGAGCTCCCATGCCCCTCATTGTAGTCACCTCGGCCTCTCCCTCTGCCAAAGCCTCTCCCACGGCCTCGGCCTCTCCCTCCCCCTCTTCCTCTGCTGCCTCCTGCAGCTCCATACCCCTCAGCAGTTTTGTTTGCAGCACCACCTCCCGTGTGGCGCCTGCGGAAGTCCTCTTGCAGAATCTGCTGCCGTAGCCACTCAGGCGTCCATTTGTCCTGCTGAACGTTGAGGGTGGGGATGAGGTTGTCCCACGAGTTGTCGAGCACCGAGATGATCTTGGTGCACTGTTACATCTGCGACACTTCGCTGCCCGCCGCTGCCATCCTCGCATAGATGTCCTTGATCTTGTCAAGGACCGGTTTCACATCATCTCCCGGTTTCATGGAGAGGGCAGCCAACTCCTACTCCAACACAATCACCATCGGCAGCGTGTTGGGCTGAATCACGTCGCGTAGCAGCTTCCATGCCTTTGGTCCGGAATCATCCAACTCCACCAAATCTTTGATGTGCTGGAACATGTCGTTGTTGACCGATTGGAGGATGAGGTCGTACAGCACCGCGCTCTTCTCAATCCACCGATCGCGGGCATCTCCTTCCCCCGGCATCTTCTCCTCTCCCATTGCAATTTTCAGTAGCTTGTAGCGCTTGAAGGCGCTCCGCATCCGCCCGCTCCATTCCTCATAGTTGGAGCCATCCAAAGCTTCGATCTTGGATGGTGGCGGTTCACTCCTCTTCTCAGCTGCATCTCCACTCCCTTGATTCATCTCCTCTGCTCCCAATCAGAGGTTTCAACTCCCCCTTTTGCTGGTCAAAATGTAGATCCACACAATCTTCACAAGTGTCGGCGCCAACGAAATTTCGGCAGAGTTTCCCCTTAGCGGAAGTCACGTCCAACCTCCAGAACTCCACTTAGGCACGCCCACAGGCCATGGTGGGTCTATGAGGGTCTTCACACTTCAGTAGACTCTCCACAAAGTCCTTAATCAGCTCTGATACAACTTGTTAGAGACTAAGGATGGAGTCTACGAAGATTAGGTGGCTAAAATTCTCAAAATCGTTGGTTTAGAATTCTGGACAGAAAAGTCGCGCTCACAAGAAACGCCGTCGACGAAAAGTTCACAGTCAAAACTTCACGAAACTCGAATATGTTGTAGCTCTACTCCGTGGCTACAATTCCCAAGTTGAATCATGCAAAAAAGTGAAGTATTTCTTGAGCTATCAATTTCGGCGCACTAGGGGGTATGCTGCCATAGAATCTTAACTCAATCACAAAGTTCACACAAGTTCACACAAGAGAATTGGAGTAGCACTAAACCAGGTGGAAGGGATGAGGAGGACAAGAGGGAAGGTCCCAAGAGAGTCCTCAACCAAGGAAACCCCATGCCATACAATTCCCTTCCCCATAGGCAACCCAACTTTGACCTTTGTCACTATCCCAACCTCCACAATCCACCTCAACCCAACTTGGCCACACTTGCCAGCCTGGTTTGGTTTCTCCCAACCATTTGGCAGCAACTACAGTAGAAAAGACGAATTTCCCAACCCTCAAAAGTCTGTACCCCATATTGAGTCAACCCCACAACTTCCCATAGTCACCACAACCAAATATCAAAAGCATACGAACTCCAACGTTCGTAACTTTCTTGTTCGTGCTCCGATTGAAGCGATACTTGGTTCCTCGGAAAGCTCTTGAGCAGAGGAGTCACTTCAGATATCTGCTCAAGCCAAATAACATTCACACACACACACTCAGAAAAACCAAACCGCACAAAACACAAATTTGTGCACACACTCACAACACGCATGCAACTCACGAACATATGATGGGAGGCAGACAGACGTGAATGCGAATGGTAGCATCACTCAACAGATACTTCGTCGCCGTTGCTGCGTAGTGATATTTTCCTCGCGATCACAGAGAACCCCTTTCCCGTCGCCATTCCTCTCACCCCTCTCATCGCCCACTATGCTATCCTCGAGTTCGCCAAATCGCCCACCCGTCTCCCTTTCCGTCGCGCGTCACGTCACCATCTCGTCGCCCGTCCCGTAGCCCTCTTCGTCGCCCTCTCTCCCCTCCTCTCCTCCCGTTGGCCTCTCTCCCGCCCCTCCCTACCGATCGCCCTCCCGTCGCTCGCCCCGTCGCGCTCTCTCTCTCCGCTCCCTTCCCGTCGCCCTCTCTCTCTCCCCTCCCTTCCCATCGCGTTCTCTCTCTCCGCTCCGCCCTCTCTCTTGCTCCTCCCTTCGAATCGCGCTCTCTCTCCGCTCCCTTCCCGTCGCGCTCTCTCTCTTCGCTCCCTTCCCATTGCCCTCTCTCTTTCTGCTCCCTTCCCATCCTCCCTTCTCGCTCGCCTCGAATAGCCCTCCGGGTGACCTTCGACTCTCCCATCACGTATGCCCTCCTTTCTCCGTCGCCTCTCTCGTTCTCCCTCTGCTATCGCGTCAGCGTGACCCATTGCGTACTCTGTTATTGTGTTTGGTTTGTTTGTTTTTTTTGTCTTTCCATCTATTCTCGACACCCTCTCTCCCGCCGCCTATCCTCTCTCCCGTCACCCTCCCGTTTCCCGTCGCCCTCCCGTTTCCCGCCCCCCTTCCGTTTCCCGTCGCCCTCCCTTTTCCCGTCGCCCTCCCGTTTCCTGTCGCCCTCGCGTTTCCCGTCGCCCTCTGGTTTCCCGTCGCCCTCCCGTTTCCCGTCGCCCTCCCTTCTTCCGTCGCCCTCCCTTTTCCCATCGCCCTCACGTTTCCCGTCGCCCTCCCGTTTCCCGTCGCCCTCCCGTTTTCCGTCGCCCTCCCGTTTCCCGTCGCCCTTGCGTTTCCCGTCGCCCTCGCGTTTCCCGTCGCCCTCCCGTTTCCCGTCGCCCTCCCGTTTCCTGTCGCCCCCCTTCTTCCGTCGCCCTCCCGTTTCCTACGCCCTCCCTTCCCGTCGCCTTCCCGTTTCCCGTCGCCCCCCTTCTTCCGTCGCCCTCCCGTTTTCTACGCCCTCCCTTCCCGTCGCCCTCCCGTTTCCCGTCGCTTTCCCTCTTTCTCTTCATTCGCGTCACCTTACCCATCATAATTTCCCCCCTAGTGCTGTTTTTCTCTTCTGTTTCTCGTTATTGCACCTCTCCCAGGCCTCAAGTCCAAGGCAGCACATTGATCAGAGCTCTACTAGCTCTAATAACGTTCAAACACTTTCACTCTCATCACGTACATGTGTGTCTGCTTGGGATTTAGCATGAGATCTTGCTAGTTGTGAATTTGGTGAAGTATTGGCTCTAGTGAATGCAGGAGTGCTCGTCGCTCAACTTTGCACGAAATTCGCACATGTACATGTGAGAGAACCTGGCTGCCAAACAGAATTGGCAATGAACTATCGTTCCTGGTCCAATAAGAAACTCGTCCGAGGGTAGGAAAAAAAAGCACACATACAGCAATTCCAACATTCCAAAACAAAACAAAAATACTTCATCTTCAAGTGGACCCAACTAGAAGGGGGGGTTACTATTTTGCCTGCTGGCTTTAAGAACGCTTCCACAATTATAACATTTCTACTCAAGGTCTTAGCCTTGAAAAGATCCTAAGGGTTTTTCTCAGCCCAACATGGTATGAGAGCTACAAGGCAAGATCCAACTTCATTCAAGCCTCCTACAAGAACAGAAGGCATGGCAACATAGAAGGAGAGAAGCTCCTCTAACGGATCTCCCGGCACCACTTCTACTCCACCTCCAGCCTCTGGCCTACACACAGAGGGAGGTACGACGACAAGACCAGCTGCCTAGTCTACTGAAACTTCTGCAAACGAGGTAACAGGTTTCGACCCAAGCATGATGGAGAAGTTTTCTCCTTCATGTCGTTCTACGAACAACACCAGCAAACAGCCCTTGCGCAATCAGACAACAGCAACAACAACAACGATGTCACACCCATGAGTCTTGATGGCTCATCCTATGCACGTAGAAACCAGCGGCAACCTACCTTTACTCCGTACGACCCTCAACGCGTCTCCATTAGCTTCATGCCACACTAGCCTCCACCTGGACAAGAGAAGACACTGGACGCACTTCAGATACAGTCACAGCTCGCAAAAGTTTGAAACTGCAAACATCGACGCCTTTCAACAGCAAAGACTTCTATACCTGGTCATGCGAGTTCGAGTTGATGATGGAGGGCGCACAGATTCTTGGATTCTTCGACGGGTCCCTGCCATACCCAAGACACAGGACACAATATGACAAGCAGCAGTACACTTATTAGTCGCTGATGGCGTACACGATACTCCTACGGAACATAATGTCAAACTCATATGCTATAGTCTGTGTAGGCTGTAGTGGGGTAGACAATATGGGGTACAGCACTTCTAGATTTTCCTACTTGTACTCACCTGCTTGCTAGTTCATTCATTCCTCATTCTAAACATGGTATAGAGCAGTTTCCCTAGTGGGAACGCTTCCTTGGGCCCACCAATGAAATTTTCCTCTCTGACCGGAGCGCCAGTCGCTCCTGCCTGAGGCGCACCTTTTTCGCCGCCCTTTCCAGGCCCCTAGTGGCCCCTAGCGGCCTCGTTGCCGCCCTCCACGCGGCCCCGCTGCCGCCCCTAGCGGCCCCGTCGCCGCCTCTCACCCTACGCGGCCCCGTCGCCGCCCCTACGCGGCCCCGTCGCCGCCCCTAGCGGCCCCGTCGCCGCCCCTAGGGGCCCCGTCGCCGCCTCTTACCCTACGCGGCCCAGACGCCGCCCCTACGCGGCCCCGTCGCCACCCCTACGCGGCCTCAACGCCGCCTCTAGCGGCCCCGTCGCCGCCCCTATCGGCCCCGTCGCCGCCTCTCACCCTACGCGGCCCCGTCGCCGCCCCTACACGGCCCCGTCGCCGCCCCTAGCGGCCCCGTCGCCGCCCCCAGCGGCCCCGACGCCGCCTCCCACCCTACGCGGCCCCGTCGCCGCCCCTAAGCGTTCCCGCTGCTGCTCCTAAGCAGCCCCGTCGCGGCCCCTAAGCGACCCCGAAGCCGCCTCTACACGGCCCTGTCGCCGCCCCTAGCGGCCCCGTCGCCGCCCCCCCTTCCTACGCGACCCCATCGCCGCCACTACACGGCCCTGTCGCCGCTCCCCTCCCTAAGCGGCCCCGTCGCTGCCCCTAGCAGCCCCAACGCCGCCTCTACTGAGCAGCTCAGCAGTAGAGCCGCCGAGCCGCCCAGCAGCAGAGCAGCCGAGCCAGCCGAGCCGCCGAGCCGCCCGACAGCCGAGCCGCCCAGCAGCCGAACCGCCGAGCCGCCCGACCGTCGAGCCGCCTAGCAGCCGAGTCGCCGAGCCGCCCGACAGCTGAGCCGCCCAACAGCCGAGTCGCTGAGCCGCCGAGCCGCCCTGCCGTCGAACCGCTACTAGTCCTACCGGCGCGCCCCGGCCCTACTTACACGTACTGGTGAGCTCACTCCTTGCTAGACCTCTGCAGTCATGGCTACCCCCAGTGTTCTTACCTTTCACACTGAGGGTCGTGCTGTTGACTTTGAGGTCTGGGTCGATGACCTCCAGTTATTCCTCTAGTGCGATAGGACAGACGGCCTCTCTCTGTTCGACCTCACCTCTGGTGCCTCCCCTGCCCCGCCTGCTACTCTTGATAGCACTGTTCGCTCACAGTGGGCAACACGCGATGCTGCTGCCCGTCTTGCTGTGCGTCGCCACTTACCGACCACTAAGCGTGCACACTTTAGCCAGTACAAGAGTGCTCACACCTTGTACGACGCTGTAGTTGCACGCTACTCTTCCCCTGCCACTGCTGCACTGAGCCGCCTCATGCTACCGTACCTCTTCCCTGACCTTGCTGCCTTTCCCACAGTCGCTAGCCTCATTACGCACCTCCGCACTAGTGACACTCGCTACCGCGCTGCGCTTCCTGCTGAATTCTGCGCCAAGAACCCCCCCCCATGTACATCACCCCCTACTACATAGTCACCCGGCTCCCTGACTCTCTTCGCTTAGTCAGGGACCACTTCCTCTCAGTTTGCCCCACCACTCTCACCGTTGACCTCCTCGAGGAGCGCCTCCTAGCAGCAGAGAAGAGCATAGTAGCTGTAGGAGCCTCTCGTGGTGACCCTCGCACCCCCGTCTTTGAGGGGTGTTCCCCCTCCCCCCTCTTGCCCTCTGTTTCTTTTGCTGCTGCTGCCGACCTCGTTGGTTTCTACGGGGTCGGCGCTGCGTTTGCCCCTAGCAGGAGACGCCGCACCGCCAAGGGCAAGGGGGGCAAGGGAGCTGGAGGGGCTAGCGGGGGCGGTGGAGGTGGTGGTGGAGGCATTGGAGGGGGTGGGGGTGGTGGTGGGAGTGGTGGCGGGAGTGGCGGCGGCGGTGGCAGCAGCACAGTTGGCGGAGGCGGCGGAGGTGGCGGAGGCGGCGGCGGTGGAGCTGCTTGCGACTCTACGCAGAGGAGTGGGTCCGGTGGTGGTCCGCGCCAGCAGCAGCAGCGCACTCGTTAGACCCTGTCCCCTCAGTACCTTCGTGAGTGGTACGCTGCGCGTCAGCGCGGTGGGGGTACTGGTCCCTGCACTTACGTTCTCGGCACCGGCGACCGCGCTGGTGAGCAGTGCGGGGGCCCGCACTCCACCCAGCGCTGCTTCGGCCTCCTGACGGGCGCGTGGCGTCACCAGTTTCCTGAGGCGTCAAAAATCCCTCACGGGGGAGATCTGTCTAGGGCGGGGGTTGCCATCTTTGATCTTGACTATAATGCTATTCTTGCTGCCATGTATGTTGTGACTGTTAGTGTTGAGGGTGACTGTTACCCGTGTGTTCCGCCTGACCCGGGCATTGAGGCTGCTGCTCTAGGTGCTGGTGAGGCTACTGCCCCAGGTGCTAGTGCGTCTGCTACCCTAGGTGCTGGTGAGTCTGCTCTCTCACGTACTACGTCGGCTCAGGCCTTACACACCTTCACCCTTTACTCGGGTGCTTCCCGCTCCTTCTTTCGAGACGGCACCACGCTTACGCCGCTTAGTCGGCTGGTTGCGGTCTCCCTGGCGGAGCCCTCTGGGGATCCTGTCCTTGCTAGCTTCTTCACTGTCTTACCGTGCCCGGCAGCCCCCTCTAGCACCTTGTCAGGTCTCTACCTCCCCTCGTTCTCTACGAACTTGGTGAGTGGAGCTGACCTACAGGATAGGGGGGTTAACGAGTTCACTCCTGCGAGTCAGCGGGTGACCCACTGCACATGTGCTCGGACAGGCCAACACTTGGCCACGTTCAGCCTGTACACACTTACTACTGAGTCTCCTCCGGCTGCTGCGTCTGGTCAGGTAGCTGCGTCGAGTCAGGTGTTTGCTGTAGCGTCCAGGTCTTGTCCTGAGTCTGCTCCCTGCTCGTGTCGTCTCCTGTCCCACCAGACTCTCCTTTGGCACCACCGCCTTGGTCACCCCTCCCTGCCTTGCCTCCGGGGCATGGCCTCCCGTGTCCTTGTCTCTGGTCTCCCCTGGTCTCTCCCTCCCCTACCTCCGGGGCCCGCCCCTACTTGCGTCCCCTGCGTCGAGGGGCGACAGCGCGCCGCCCCTAACTCCTCCAAGTTTCCTCCGACGGAGGCTCCCCTACAGACTCTTCACATAGACGTGTGGTGCCCCGCCCGCGTCCGTGGACAGGGGCATGAGCGTTACTTCCTGTTGGTGGTAGACGACTACTCGCGTTACACCAAAGTCTTCCCCTTGCGTAGCAAGGGCGACGTCATTGAGGTGTTGATCGACTGGATCCGCGCAGCTCGTCTCCAGCTCAGAGAGAGTTTTGGCTCGGACTTTCCTGTTCTCCGTCTACACTCTGACAGAGGCGGGGAGTTTTCCTCTGCCTGTCTGGGAGCCTTCTGTCGAGCACACGGCATCCGCCAGACCTTCACGCTTCCGGCCTCTCCGCAGCAAAATGGGATTGCTGAGCGCCGCATTGGCATGGTCATGGACGTCGCTCGTACGTCCATGATCCATGCGGCTGCCCCCCATTTTCTGTGGCCGTTTGCGGTTCGGTACGCAGCGCATCAGCTCAACCTCCAGCCCCAGGTCTCCTTGCCAGAGACCTCCCCCACCCTGTGGTGGACGGGGAAGGTTGGCGATGCGTCTGCGTTT